AGGGGTCCGCCCAACGTGCCATATGCAACATATGCAATTTGAATGTGCACGCATGCGTATATCTGGAAAAGTCTTTGATGTCGGTCAAAAGTAGCACTATTTTCGTGTTCAGGAGGTCAAGGAGCATCATTCCTGTGATTTTGAGCGAAATCGAAGGGGTCCGCCCAACGTGCCATATGCAACATATGCAATTTGAATGTGCACGCATGCGTATATCTGGAAAAGTCTTTGATGTCGGTCAAAAGTAGCACTATTTTCGTGTTCAGGAGGTCAAGGAGCATCATTCCTGTGATTTTGAGCGAAATCGAAGGGGTCCGCCCAACGTGCCATATGCAACATATGCAATTTGAATGTGCACGCATGCGTATATCTGGAAAAGTCTTTGATGTCGGTCAAAAGGAGCACTACTTTCGTGTTCAGGAGGTCAAGGAGCATCATTCCTGTGATTTTGAACGAAATCGAAGGGGTCCGCCCAGCGTGCCATATGCAACATATGCAATTTGAATGTGCACGCATGCGTATATCTGGAAAAGTCTTTGATGTCGGTCAAAAGGAGCACTATTTTCGTGTTCAGGAGGTCAAGGAGCATCATTCCTGTGACTTTGAACGAAATCGGAGGGGTCCGGCAAGTTCACTTTAGGACGAGAAATCTGAATATCACTTGTATTTGCCTCTTGGCTTTGCTCAATAGGTTTATCGACTGTTTTTCGCCCTTTGGTCTAACAATGCCTCTGGTGCTTAAGTATATTGTTATTGCAGTATGTATAGCTAATGTCCTTCATAAATACGAAGCTGTCACGTGTAAAACGACTCCAAAAAGTGAGAAAAATCGCATGACCTTGAACGACCTTGAACTTTAGAGACTTCTCCTGAGAAAACTATGCGACCGCGTTTGATGCAAATTAGTTTTTTTGTAAAGAACTACTGAGTCTTAATCATTTCTGAAATTTTCTTGAAATTTGATGAGGTCCGATTTTTCCGGGAAGTTTACTAACCAGAATATTGTACTAGTAAAACAAACGTGAATAACTTGGAAAATACTTAATGTCGGTAAATAAAAAGATGATTTTTGCACTTAGGAGCTCATGGTCTATCTGCTGTGCAATTTTCAGCCAAATCGAAGGGGTCCGCGAATGTGCACGCGAATCTGAATGTGAATATGATGCAACTATATGCACATCTACTCTTCTTTGTTTCCAAGTATTATTTTGCGCCACAAATGAACGGCATGCGCCAGAATCGCAGCCAAATCTTGCGATTGCGACTACGAAATTCATTATTTTGACCTCAGAGCCTGAAGCGAAAAATACAAGCATATTTATTTCAAAAAGACTTCAGGTTTGTCGAACGGTGTTATGAGAATTTTGATAACAGTACTGCATAAGTTTTTCAGTGATGCCGCAAAAGTGTTGTATCTATCTTCTTTTATTGTGCAGTCGGCGGGACCGATTCAAAATTGAGTCGTTGCTACTAAAATAGCAGCATATGGCGACAGATGATGAACAGGAAAAATAGTTGCGTAAATTTAGACATAAACCACCCCCAAACCATGAATATCTTTTGAAGGCACTATAGACGACCATTAACTAACTAGATGTGATGAAGATCAAATGTAATGAATACGCTCATTTTACAAAATTACATGCAAGTACCAAAAAGTGATGTACCTAAGTACTTATTCAACGGTCATTTTCAGCGCTCCCCGCTAACGTGACTTCAAGTTGAGATATTTGCGGCAAGGTACCGAATTGAGCAAAATGGTTTTAATTTACATTATAACTTGTTGTGTTTTGTCAGAAAATGGTCCTAACTTAGATTTTGTGGAAAAAGGTCATAATCTCCCTTTAATGGCCTCGGTTGTCTGGGTAAATGCCTTTGAGTATGTAAGCATGATTTTATAATTGGATCTCTTTAACCCTCGCCGGCACCTATAGTGAATAAAGAAAGTGACAAGGAAGTCATCTTGCCACCAAAATTGCACAAAATCTCGGAAATGACACGCAAAATTACCAAAATCACCTTGCACAGCCGATTTACCGCCATGCCACCAATTAATTACACAGTAATCTGATCATCGAGGATGTTTGTTTTACGAAATAAGAAGGTGGGCGGTATTACCCGATGGGAAGCGTTCCCCGTTTTCCCCTATGCATAGATTCAAGTGATGAATCTATGATCTCAGTGGATCTCGAAGCAAACTGCAGGGTAGGATCTATGATCCCACCAAATCCTGCGCGAAAATTTTATCCTGGATCTACGTGTATGATCTCATAGGATCTAACGATAAACCAAGAACATGTGTCTGTCTATATGATCTGAGTGGATCCCGCCATGCACAACTTTTCCTACATGCCGGGGTATGTTTTAACCCGCGCCCTGCTGGGGGGTGGGTGTTTGAACACCCCCCTTGTGGTTTTTCGTGAATATTTCAAAAACGGCGCCGCCGTTTTTGGTACACCTTATCATACATCAATTCTACACATGTTGTGAAAATTTCAGACCAAGGTCATTCAAGGTCAGGTCACCAGGTCACTTGAAGTGACCTCACCCCATAAAAAGTTTCAATGTCTGTCATAGCTACACCGAGTGACCGATCGCTTTGAAACTTTCAGCGATTGCTAAGAGCAATAGCATGTACAAAATGTATATCTCAGAATTTTGATATCGATGACCTAAGGTCAGGTCAATTTTGCGACCCCCTCATTATAAGTTAGTGGGAGAAAATTGAAATGCGTCTCTTTTGGACGAAAGGCATTATAAACACTCCCAAACACCGAATTACAAGTGGTTTAGACACACTGAACATGAAAATGGTGTCCGTGACCCCTGTTTATGCCCTGAGGTCATCTTAGGTCACGAATGGTATCTAACATAGGTCACGAATGGGTGATTTGAGCATAGTTGGTCCGGATGGGATTGTGGGAGGGGTGCTGGACCTTACATATGCTGTAGATAGAATATCGATAGTTAGGTACCACCATCACCAGGGCTTTACAGCATTTGTGATGTCTGAACTAATATACGAATATATACGAATAACAGTTTTTCGCAAATGACTTTTGATAGAGGCATGCTAGAGCGATGAAAACGCCTTATATGTGTTCAGCTCGACGATACGGATCGACTGATATGCAACATGACCCTTTCCGGTCAGGTCATGACCTTGACCTGAGGTCAAATTTTCAAGTTGACCTTTCAAGGTCAAGTTATAGTTCATTCGATGCGTATTGACGAGAGGAACACGATGCCGGTAAGAGGAAGCTCGTACAAGGCTTGGGTCAAAAGTTATTGCAGAAAAACTGTTTCCGAAAAAATCGGCTATTTTTGCAGTTTTTGCCCCCTGCAGGCAAAACCGTTGACGTTAGGTCCAATCTGAGAGAGTTACTCAGAAAGGGCGTTAATAGGGCTATCGAATGCGCCTTTCCGCGGCGCTGTAGCTCTATTGGTTCCCGAGTTATGGGTTGGCTTCTTGGAACTTTTCGACATTTGACCTGGAAATCGGCGAAATTTTGCCTTCAATGACCTCTGGTGACCTGACCGTTGACCTGACCAAAAAATTGACCGAAATGATTTCGTCGTTATTTTTTACGCTCTTTCGAACGCCGCCTTCCGCGTATCGCTACGTGGCCCAGGAGCCGAGTTACAAGGGGGGGTGTTCAAACACCCCCCAGCAGGGCGTGGAAATCCAGGACCCCCAGCCGGGCGCGGGTTAAGCACAGCACGAGCCGGGTAGTAAAACTATGACCAAGAAACTGTCGGTTTCAAAATGCCATGTTAGGCCGGGCAGGAAACAAAAATTTACTGCCTGGGTTTACTGCCCAGGGCAATGACCTCTAAACTACAGTTTATCGCATTAGCGCAGAGGAAGAATTGACAGGGAATGTATAATTGACATCATTTTTGCATGATATTTGCCGCATAAGATTAGAAAACTAACATTTTTTTTTTTGTATAAAATATCTGCTCTGCCTATCAAGGGTTTTGAAATATTTTGTGTTGGTTACAAAGCCGAAATTATGGTAGGGGAAGTTGGGGCAATGCCGGAGTTGGGGCAAAGCCGAAATTCGAGATATTTCGAAAACCGTAAGACATGGAAGCCACCTGTCAGTGATGCTCTGAAGCTTAAGTGACTACAATTATCGCATGTTTGTTACGAGTCGTCATTCGGAATACTTCGGCTGTGAAGGCGCCAAGAGCGTTTTCAAGGTACGCGTTCCTTGTACTACATGCGCCTTTGAAGCTGCATTTCTTACTATATGCTACCGTTTGTCTGGCCAATTCGGTCAAGTAATCTTCAGCATGTCTTTGCTGAAGATTACTGCTGCCTATTTGATTGTGTGCTGCCTATTTGAAATTTATACGGCACGTTGAAAAGTTATGGGCCTGCAAATGAAAGTATGGCTGGCTGGGGTAATGCCGAAAACGTGCAATTACGCACGTTAAAGCACGCTACGTGGACTTTACTGCTGTAGAATAGCAACGCGAATTTTTAGTCACACAAATTACACTTTCAACCGACACAACGGCCTATACCTATACCTACACCTATAAGGAATTATTTACCTGGCATTTTCTTATTATATCACACAATTATAACTTCCAGTGTGCACCAAGCGTCCTCAAGCTCTTAACACGCGCAGTGGAAGGGTTGCGAGTGCTACGCCCAGTGGAAGGGGGGGGGGGGCGGATGTCGCCCCCCCCCTAAGATCTCAGCTCCCACTGGAGCTAGAAAGACGAAATTTGGAGGGTAGGTGGGGGCCATGGGGAACTCTGTTGTGTGTGAATTTCATGACCCTAGGTCAATATCTTCAAGGTCAAATGAGGTCAAATGTGGTCAAATCTGCCATATTAGCGACTTTTTTGCGTTTACACGCCGATAACTCAAAAAGTTACCGGCCGATTTTTTAAAATTTTTCACTATACGTGTGCCCACCTCTGCCGTGCCAAAACTCTTTCAACGCACTCTTGCCTGCACAACTAAATAAAAGAAACAAAAAAGGTACATAGGAAAGACATGGTATTGCGGAACATGATTGGAACTCAGAGCATGTGTGCAGCAAGTGTCCAAAGCGCGTGGTTTTCTGCAAAAGAACAACCAATAATCACACATACAACATAACCAAGGATCAAATGCGGACATTGATGCGGACAGTTCACACATTGTACGAAATGCGGACACAAAATGCACATTTGCCAGATGCACATAAAATCAATCAGCAAAAATGACAAGTTACAACTGGCATTTGTTCTGTTACAAATAAAGATAGCAATTACTGACCAGATGTGTTTTTGGCGCAGCGGTGGGACAAGTGGCCAGTCGGCTCACACTCGACTGGTTCCCGTCTGGTACATCAGCTGGATCACGCTCAGCTGGTGACACACAACAGTACAACCTATTACACCTGCCACTGCCCAAATGCACGAGGAAATGTACCAGTTTTTACAATGTGCTAGATCTCAAAGGCTCAAATGCAAAGTAAATAATCTAAATTAGCAATATCAACCCCAATAGCACGTGGAACTCGCGCCATAATTGCCGCAACGAACATAATGTCTACAATATATCAGTTGTCTAGCCACAGTTTATCAGTTTAATATCCACGGCCAACTGCTCATCATTGTCAGTGGCACAATAATCAAAAATACTGACCTTTCACCTTTCATTTCACGCAAATAGATCAGTGCCGGCTCATTCTCGGCAACTCCCTCGTGGCAAAATGTCGCTGATACAAACAACGCATCGGGGTTCGCCGCAAACGCCTATTTTTGCGAGGTTCTCGTCCGATCGCCGCAACTAAATCAAAACAAGTCACGACATCCTCCCCCCCCCCCCCCAGTTTCGGAGGAAACTCCCTGAGCCGCATGAGCCATACACAGCGTCAGTTCACTGCCATCACGAACTACCTTCAGTACACAACACAGAAGGCCTGGTAGCCGCCAGCTCGAACACAAAGACGATCTTCTACGACACCCGAGTCGTTTATACTTCAGAGAGTTCATGGCCGAGGCGTCCGGAGCGCACGGCACACAACACAAACACTGTCTCACTGACGCCTAGCGCCACACCACGAGACGCGATACGAGCCGACGCGCGGCCCGCTCCGAATCACTCAGAGCCGCCGCTCGCCCCTCGATAACACAACACGCCATCCGATGCCCTCCGTCAGCTTCCGGCATCAGCGACGCGGCGAGCCGACCCCAGACCAGCTCGCGCCAGCTCGAGCAGGCCGATGCCACGGCCCGCAGAGGTGAGTCCCCACGAACAGCATCCCGACCGCGCCGACCGCCGGTCACCAGCCAGCTCGGCGACACAGGATGCCGCCCGCGCGTCTGCTGTCCAGCCGGGCCCGTGAGTCGCTCACCGGCGACCCGCCAGAATGCTACAGACGTCCTCCTGCCCTCCGCCGTCGTCCACCAGTGTGTCCAGCCACCGCTGGCCAGCCTGGACGAGGAAAAGGACACTTAGGATGGAACATAGGTATATCATTATTGAATGCGGGCGGGAGAAGAAACAGGAAAACAAAATAAACTAAATAAACAATGGTTAAAAGTAGAGCAGTGCTGTTCAACGATCGGCAATGGGCAAAGAGCTCATGTCAGCCCAGAGAATGGCATCCTGACTCAGTCATCTCCAATCTCCTCATACTCTCTGCCCCTCAAGTAGGCAGAGCTTTGTGCACGGACGCTTGTAGGTACCCGTCGCGGTCCGGATCAATGCCGAACGTACGACCCCATCTCCACTTGTATACACTTCCTGTACAACTCCTAGGGGCCAGTAGCCCCGGGGAGCATCTTCTGTCATCAGCAGAACTACGTCATCGACGACGAGATTGCGCGTGTCCCTGGTCCACTTCTTCCGAGCGATCAGTGTCGGTAGATATTCTTTGAGCCACCTGAGCCACACTCGGTTTGCAAGAGCCTGGCTCTGCCTCCACCGTTTTCGAGACATCTCATCGTTTTCTCCGAAGACTCCGGGGGGCAGAACGCCTCCGTTGGGCCTCGCACCGAGTAGAAAATGGTTCGGACTTATTGACTCAGGATCGTTTCCATGACCAGACACGTAGGTCAGTGGTCTCGAGTTCACCTGGTACTCAACTTCGAGCACCACGGTGTGAAGGACATCATCGGGTACAATCTGGTTTCCCAGAACTGCTCGGAGAGCTCTCTTTACAGAGGCGACAAGTCTCTCCCAGATGCCTCCCATATGGCTGGCTGCGGGGGGGTTGAATTTCCACTGAATGTTGCGTTGTGACAGAGCGTCGCATATCTGCTCTTGGTTCCACGCTTCAATATTCTCTCGCAGTTCCCTCTCTCCTCCGACGAAGTTTGTTCCATTGTCGGACCATATGAGCTGTGGCCGACCTCGCCGCGCAATAAACCGGCGTAGCGCCATCAAAAACGAGCTCGTGTCAAGAGCTTCGACAACCTCAAGATGAATCGCCCTGGTGGCTAAGCAGGTCGCTAGCATGATGTAGCGTTTTTCTGTTTTCCGGAACTTCTTGACTCGGACCGGACCAAGGAAGTCGAGACCCACAGATGAAAATGGTCGGGACATGTCAAACCGCTCACCTGGTAGATCTGCCATCCTCGGGTTGACAGGCATGGCTCGTCTGTTCCGGCACACTGCGCATCGCCAGATAATTTTCTTCACAGTAGCCCGGGCTTTGGGCGTCCAGTATTTTTCCCTGAAGAGGTTGAGCGTGTGGTTGAGACCAGCATGAAGACACTGCTCATGTAGTTCAGTCACAATCAGGCGTGTGACGTGACTGTCTTGATGGAGAACGATCGGCTGGTGACAAACTTCAGCTGGAGCGTGTGTCAGACGACCTTCCACCCGTCTAAGTCCCTCGCTGTCGGTGACCAGCGACAGACCTGGTTGTGGCGTCACCTTCTCCAGCTTCTGGTCTTCCTTGATGATGAACCTTTCTGCTTCCAGCAGTTCTTCGACTGTCAACTGTCCGCGTTTCTTGATCTTGGAGCGCGCGTTCGAGACGAACCTGTGGATCCAAGCAACCACGCGTCGATACTTGTTCCACGAGGAAAACGGCGCAGCGTCAACCAGAGGAGCTTCGACCGCAGCTGCCGTACCGACAAAAGTGGTGGCCTCCTTCGCCGCCTTCTTCTTCAGCTCTGGTTCATCTGGCAGGAGAGCGGGCATCTGAAGACTGGGCGGCCAGTCATCACGGCCTCTTCTGAGGAAGTCAGGCCCCCTCCACCATAGGTCGGAGGACTTGAGCAGAGCGACTGAGAGCCCACGAGAGCCTGCATCCGCCGGATTCTGCTTGCCAGGGACGTGCTTCCACTGAGACGGGTCGGTCGAGTCACGAATCTCCGACACTCGGTTCGCTACAAAGGTTTGAACTAGTCTGCTTTCTTTCGCTATGAACTGAAGGACTACTTGACTGTCGGTCCAGAATATGACGTCCTCAAACTCGTAGGTGAGCTCGTCTTGAATGGTCCTCGCTAATCTCACAGCGAGCACAGCGGCTTGGAGCTCCAAACGCACTATGGAAAGTTGTTTGAGCGGAGCGACCCTGGTCCTGGACATCACAAGGCTGACCGTATGCTGATCATTCACATCAGTCATCCGTGTGTACGCCACCGCAGCGAATGCGTCTTCAGATGCATCTGAAAATATGTGAAGCTGAACGCTTGCGACACCGCTGGTCGTGGACGCCTTCAGACAGCGTGGGACCCTGATGCGTTCGACTTCTGACAGCTCGTTCAGCCAATTCTTCCATTGGGACAACTCGGCGCCTGTAATCTCTTCATCCCAGTCAATCTTCAGAGTCCACAGTCTCTGGATCAAGATTTTCACCTTCAATAGGAATGGCGAAAGCAGTCCCAGAGGGTCGAACACAGTGGCCGCCGTCCTGACAACTCCTCTCTTCGTGGGTGGTCCGGTTGAACTCCTCACTCGTATGCTCAAGGTGTCTTCTTTCGGCGACCACACACAACCGAGTGCCTTTCCTGCTTCGCTTTCACATGAAGTCACCGTTTTCTGTGTTTCGTCGCGGTCGTCTTCGGGTACATGTTGAAGGATCTCCGGGTGACTTGACCTCCATTTCGTAAGTCGAAAGCCTGCCTTTGCCAGCAGCGAGGTAACCTTTTCCATGACTGCCAGGGCTTCCTCAGGTGACCTTTCTGAACGAAGAAAATCGTCCACATAGAAGCTCGAGAACAGGGGTGGGTCACCTTCGGTGTCCTCTGCCTCGGTATCCACCGACAGAGCTCGGCGTAGGACGTAGTTTGCAATACAGGGACTGCATCTGGCACCAAATATTCCAACAAGCATCTGGTAGAGGTCAGGTTTCCTCGTGGCATCCATGTCACGCCAGAGGAAGGACAAAGCTGGTTGATCCTCGGGTCGTACCTGAATCTGATGGAACATCTGGTAGATATCGGCTACCAGTGCGTACTGCTGTTCCCTGAATCGTAGAAGCACACCTTGCAGGTTCTGCATTAGATCCGGCCCTTGCAGCAGCTCCCCGTTCAGCGACGTTCCTCTGCTCTGTGCAGCTGCATCAAAAACCACTCTCGGTTTTGGTTTGTCTGGACGGATAACAGCATGATGCGGAAGAATCCATCGCTTCCTCTTTGTCTCTTCACTTTCCGCACTTGACAACTTCCGCGCATATCCCTGTTGCACGTAGCTCTCCAGTACTGCCTGATAGGCCTCTGCGCGCTCTGGATTCTTCTTCAGACTTCTTTCCAGAGATTCCAGCCGACCATGCGCCGACTCATAGCTGTCTGGCATTCTCACTTGCTCATCTCGCCAGAGGAGCCCCACTTCGTACTTGCCGTCTTTACGCAGTGTCGTCCTTTCTAGGATTCCCAGCGCTCTCTTGTCCTCTGGCGTCAGAGCCTGCATATCTGTGCATGCCGTGCCGAAGGATTCCGTACTCCACCAGTCATTCATCATGCTCGACAGATCTTCATCTGACCGCTGGTGGGACGACTTGCTGATGAACATCACTTCGCGGTGGTGTCCTGGCACCATGCCAGCAAGCGATCCAGTCAGCGACCATCCGAAAGCTGTCCGGATAGCCACCGGTTCTCCAGGTCTACCCACTCGTGCTTCTCGCTGAAGCACAGCCTCCAACACATTAGCGCCCAAGAGAAGTTCAACTTGTCCACCCGAAAGGTCAGGAATCGTGAGTCCTTCAAGATGTTTGAGACCGCGCAGCTGCCGGCGATTCACGCTGGGTGCACGCACGTTTACTTTCTCGACTGAGAACGCTTCTGGCACGCATATCCTCTTCGAGCGATCCTGTGGTTCTCCCAGAGGAGAGAGCTCCAACTGGACTCGTCTTGACAATTTCTGTTCGCCGGCTGCTTCAACACTGTTAAGCCGGAGTGACTGAACCTCTCCAGCCACCTGTAGTTCATCGAGCAATGAGACGTTGCACAGCGAGGTCTGGGCACCTGGGTCCAGAAGCGCAAGGGTGTCCTTGAACTTCCCATCCGATCCATGTACACGCACTGGAACAACTTGGAGAAGAACAGAAGAGTGCTCTCCAGTTGCTTCTTGTCTCACGGACGCGATGGTTGCTTCGTTGGCCGATTTTCTGACTTCTCCAGCACCATTCACCGGCAACGTGGTCGGCCTTCGCACTCTCTTGCTTCCGTGTAGTAGTCGGTTGTGGCGAAACGTGCATCCTTCGATGCCACATGTCCGTGCAGTCCTGCAGCCTCGACTTCGGTGACCAGCTCGAAGGCAGCTGAAACAAAGGCCACTACGAGCAACAACTTCAGCCCTCTCATCTGGTGTCAGTGCCTTAACCCGCGCCCTGCTGGGGGGGTGTTTGAACACCCCCCTTGTGGTTTTTCGCGAATATCTAAAAAACGGCGGCGCGGAGCGCCGCCGTTTTTGATACACCTTATCATACATCAATTCTACACATGTTGTGAAAATTTCAGACCAAGGTCATTCAAGGTCAGGTCACCAGGTCACTTGAAGTGACCTCACCTCATAAAAACTTTCAATGTCTGCCATAGCTACACCGAGTGCCCGATCGCTTTGAAACTTTCAGCGATTGCTAAGGGCAATAGCATGTACAAAATGTATATCTCAGAATTTTGATATCGATGACCTAAGGTCAGGTCAATTTTGCGACCTCGCCATTATAAGTCAATGGGAGAAAATTGAAATGCGCCTCTTTTGGATGCAAGACATTATAAACACTCCAAAACACCGAATTACCAGTGGTTTAGACACACTGAACATGAAAATCGTGTCCGTGACCCTTGTTTATGCCCTGAGGTCATCTTAGGTCACGAATGGTATCTAACAGTTTTTCGCAAATAACTTTTGATAGAAGCATGCTAGAGCAATGAAAACGCCTTAGATGTGTTCAGCTCGACGATACGGATCGACTGATATGCAACATGACCCTTTCCGGTCAGGTCATGACCTTGACCTGAGGTCAAATTTTCAAGTTGACCTTTCAAGGTCAAGTTATAGTTCATTCGATGCGTCTTGACGAGAGGAACACGATGCCGGTAAAAGTAAGCTCGTACAAGGCTTGGGTCAAAAGTTATTGCAGAAAAACTGTTTTCGAAAAAATCGGCTATTTTTTCGTTTCGTTTCGTTTCGTTTCGTTTATTTAGGGCTTGTCCACAAGTGGCTATTACGGCCCAGTCAATACATGATAGGTACACACCCACACACACACATATACATACATACAATATACACGTCAATATAAAGCAACACCCGCAAAAGCATACATAAAATATCTAAAATCAGTCATGTCACTTGTCAGTCTCTATCTAAAGTGCTGCACCAGCTGTCTCCTGGAACCAGTCGCCTTCACCTCCGGCGGCAGGCCGTTCCATGCAGCGGCGGCTCTATACGAAAACAGCCGCCTGGTCGCCGCCAGTCGAACCCGCGGCAGGTCGAGCACAGCTGCGCCCGCAGCCGTGGCCCGCGTGACTCTATTGGAGACGGCGGCACGCGGGCGAAACATGGACCGCAGCGAGTCGGGGGCGCCGGCGGCGTACAAGGCGCGTTGCACGTTCACCGCGTCACGGCGTGCGATGACCTCACCAATGCCGGGCCAGCCGAGCGCGCCGAGGGCGGGGGTGATGTGGTCGAATTTGCGGAGACCAGAGACGAGCCGTACAGCGAGATGGATGGTCCTCTGCAGCCGGTGCAGGCGGGATTTGGAGGCACCACCCCAGACTGACGAGCAGTACTGGAGGTGGGGGAAAACGTGGGTTTGAACGAGGATTTTAAGGATGTCAGGGGAGAGGTGATGGCGAATTTTGAACAGTGATATAAGGATTCCATTTGACCGCCGAACGATAGAGGATATATGTGGCTCCCAGCTCAGGGTTTGGTCGAGGAGAACACCCAGCACCTTGATGTGTTTTGTTGGCCGAATAGTTGCATCATCTACGTTAAGAGTGAAGTTTTTGACTTTATCAACTGAATTTTGAGTGCCAAGAAGAGTGAAGCAGGTCTTCTCTCCATTCATTTTTAAACTGTTTAAGCTAAACCAGCGTTGAAGTTGCTGAATGTTCTCCTCGGCCCGGGACTTCAGCACTTGGATGCCAGTGGGATTGGAGGGTGCTGAGTCCAGGATTTGGGTGTCATCCGCGTAGGATATGAGTCGGCCATGGGGGAGGAAGCAGGTAAGGTCGTTGACGAAGATGAGGAAGAGGATGGGACCCACGATGGACCCCTGGGGAACACCGTGGGAGAGTGGGAGGGCCGTTGAGGAGCGGATGAGTTGGGAACGGCCAGAGAGGTAGCTGCTGAACCAGCGGGATGAGATGCCATACCACTCGAGCTTGTTCAGAAGCATCGAGTGGTCGACACTGTCGAATGCCTTGCTCAGGTCGACTGACGTCACCGCGGCAACGTCACCACCGTCGACCCTGCGAGCCGCCCATTCGACAATGTCGAGTATGGCATCTTCAGTGGAGTGGGATGGGCGGTAGGCATACTGGGATGGGGAGAGGATGTGGTTAGTGATGAGGTAGGAGGTGAGCTGAGAGCATACAACCTTTTCAAGGATTTTGGAGAGAGATGGGAGGATGGATATGGGGCGGTAGTTGCCAGGCTGGTTGGGGTCACCGGATTTGTGGATTGGTGTGACGATGGCAACTTTCCATGCGTCAGGGAAGGTAAGGGTGGATATGGATGAGTTGATTAGGTGAAGGATGGGCGGACCGACTGCAGGGAGACAGCTTCTGATCGCAGCGATCGGAATGCCATCAACCCCAACAGCCCTCGACGCACTTAGCCGGCTTTTTTTATTTTTGCAGTTTTTGCCCCCTGCAGGCAAAACCGTTGACGTTAGGTCAAATCTGAGAGAATTACTCAGAAAGGGCGTTAATAGGGCTATCGAATGCGCTTTTCCGCGGCGCTGTAGCTCTATTGGTTCCCGAGTTATGCGTTGGCTTCTTGGAAATTTTCGACATTCGACCTGGAAATCGGCGAAATTTTGCCTTCAATGACCTCTGGTGACCTGACCTTTGACCTGACCAAAAAATTGACCGAAGTGATTTCGTCATTATTTTTGACGCTCTTTCGAACGCCGCCTTCCGCGTATCGCTACGTGGCCCAGGAGCCGAGTTACAAGGGGGGGTGTTCAAACACCCCCCCCCCCAGCAGGGCGTGGAAATCCGGGACCCCCAGCCGGGCGCGGGTTAAACTGCTCACATAACCAGAGCCCGTGAGTTCCTCCACAGATTACACAGACCCTCTCACCTGATTTGGAGCTGGCGGTGGTTGTTGTTACAAACAACCCGACATTCTTCTGCTGCCTGGTCGTTGATGCAGATGGAGCTGATGCTTCACATCGAAGTAGCACTCCCACCTGCGTGCGCAGCCACTCATCAAATTCAGTCAGAGTGGGCCGCTCCAACCCAAGAGTGTGCTCTGCCCATGATTTCCTGAGATCAAGGGGAAGCTTGCTGACCATCCGCCTCAGATTTTCGCACGACTGCAGGTCACCCTCAAACTTCATTGTCTTCAGAGTGGTGCATGCCCCATGAACTGCACCATGGTACTTCTCCAGCGACTTTGCATCAAAAGCCTTAGGAGGTGCGCAGGTGAAGACAGCTTTCAGAGTCGCATGCACAATGTCCACCTCTTGTCCATATCTCTCCTTGAGAGCCTTCAGCGCATCAGAGTAAGAGCTCCCATCACATATCATGCCTCCGATGAGTGCCCTTGCTGATCCAGAGACAGAATTTTGGAGATGTGCCATCTTCTCATCATTGGTCAGGTCCTGCCTATCAACCATGGCCGAGAAGAGGGAGTGCCACCTCGGCCAATCCTCCACTGACCCACTGAAGGTCGGCAGCTTCAGCCGGGGCAAGCTGTGATAGAAGAGTTGATTTTCTGCCATTTTATCTGCAGTGATTCTTCTCTTGCCCGCTTTCTGCTTGGCCTCCTGACCATTCTCCTGCTGTTCCTGCTGTTCAGCTCCAACAAAATCCTCCCTTCTATCCCAAGCCAGCTCATTCTCCGCTGCTCTCGTCAATTCTGTCTTCAACTTCGCAGCATTCAAGGCATCCTGCTTTTCCTGAAGCTGTCGCTCTCGACGAAGACTCTGCTCTTCTTCTTCTCTCTGCAGGCGGATCTGCAACTGCTTGAGCTCCATTTCTCGAACCTTGTTCTCTACTTCAGCCATCCTGGTGGCATGCTCAGCTGCAGCTTTCGACGATGCAGACGAATGCGCCACTGCCGACACAGAGGGGGTTTCATCCGCTCGGCCCTTGACATGAGCCTCAACTCTCTCAACCGCAAGTCGGTGCTCCTCTGTTGCTTCCTCTCCATACACCTCACACTTGCGTCTCTCATCTTCATCTTCCAGTGACAACCCATACTTCTCATTGACCTCCAGGAGCGCTTGAAGAGCAACGTCCAGGTCTTTGAGTACCGAGCAGAGCTCCCTCTTACTTCCCGCAGTGTCAACAAGTACAAAAGCCCTCCTCCTGGTCCTGGTTAGATTTCCCTTCCTGAGGGCACGCTCGCTCTTGAGTGACATCTTCTCCTTGAGCAGTTCACCCACAGCAAAAGTCCATCAACTTTGTACTTTCAGAGGCACTTCACATCATATCAATGAATCTTTGAAACTTCAACACATCTGAAAACTGTGCCCACCTCTGCCGTGCCAAAACTCTTTCAACGCACTCTTGCCTGCACATTGCACAACTAAATAAAAGAAACAAAAAAGGTACATAGGAAAGACATGGTATTGCGGAACATGATTGGAACTCAGAGCATGTGTGCAGCAAGTGTCCAAAGCGCGTGGTTTTCTGCAAAAGAACAACCAATAATCACACATACAACATAACCAAGGATCAAATGCGGACATTGATGCGGACAGTTCACACATTGTACGAAATGCGGACACAAAATGCACATTTGCCAGATGCACATAAAATCAATCAGCAAAAATGACAAGTTACAACTGGCATTTGTTCTGTTACAAATAAAGATAGCAATTACTGACCAGATGTGTTTTTGGCGCAGCGGTGGGACAAGTGGCCAGTCGGCTCACACTCGACTGGTTCCCGTCTGGTACATCAGCTGGATCACGCTCAGCTGGTGACACACAACAGTACAACCTATTACACCTGCCACTGCCCAAATGCACGAGGAAATGTACCAGTTTTTACAATGTGCTAGATCTCAAAGGCTCAAATGCAAAGTAAATAATCTAAATTAGCAATATCAACCCCAATAGCACGTGGAACTCGCGCCATAATTGCCGCAACGAACATAATGTCTACAATATATCAGTTGTCTAGCCACAGTTTATCAGTTTAATATCCACGGCCAACTGCTCATCATTGTCAGTGGCACAATAATCAAAAATACTGACCTTTCACCTTTCATTTCACGCAAATAGATCAGTGCCGGCTCATTCTCGGCAACTCCCTCGTGGCAAAATGTCGCTGATACAAACAACGCATCGGGGTTCGCCGCAAACGCCTATTTTTGCGAGGTTCTCGTCCGATCGCCGCAACTAAATCAAAACAAGTCACGACAATACGAAAGAGCAAACATTTGTGAGTATGTATGGTGAATTTCTAGATAATCCAACAATAAATATGGCAGTTAGAAGCCTGCGAAGGGTAAGATGTCGCCGGCTGAAGCGGCATCGGCCGACGCGGGAAACGCGGCAATCACAATTTTGTGTTTACACGCTCATAACTCAAGTTGTTACCGGCCGATTTTCAAAATTCTTTGACCATATGATTGCCTGTACATTTCTCAGTCTTCTCACTGAATTTGACGCGAATCTAATATAATCAGCGGTAAGGAGCGCGATGTAAAGACGGAACCGTCCCGCCCCGGCACAGTCTACAATTCAGGCGGCGCGTAACGGCTAGCGCCGGCCGCCGCGCCGCCGCGCCGCCGCGGCGGCAGGATGTTTGACTTTACACCGCTATTACTAGAAAAGTTGTGAACCGATTTTCTTACTTCTTGCACGAGAAGATCCGCAGTTAAATTCTGGACAGGTAGCCGAAATTTCACATTGATATTATGCTTGCGGCGCGAGTTATTGGCGAAAAACAGGAGGGGTGGGCGAAATCCGCCCCCCCCCTTCCACTGCGCGTGTTAAAACGCGTGTCAGCTTTGATAAATTCTGGATAAAGTTTGAGATAAAGTGGCAAAACATCAATGTCGGCATTCCCCGTAGATCATTTCTCCCATTTTCGGCTTTCCCCGCAGTCTGGGGCAACGCCGAAAAAGTCACTTCTTTGATATTTTTAGTTTGTGCGCTTAACGGTATGCGAATTCATCAAATGTGCCTGGTATGTTTGAAAGGCAAAAGACTGGCCTCTCGAATGACGCCAACAAGAATAGCTTATGTTGTCTACCTTGCGTGCTACGGGCGTCAGAAAAAAGTATTTGGCGTTCCCCCAACTTCCCCTAAGATATGCGCCTATTAATCGAAATCCGTTATCGCTTGTTGTCTTATCTTCGTTTGATATGTCCACTGATACCTTGGGCCTAAGTTACTGCGTTATCATTTGACAGTTGTAGTCCTTTCCTCGAAACAAACACGTAAAATATGGAAAATATGATGTATTTCACGAAAGTTTAGCCATAGGGCATCAACAAAGTACGATTACATAAATAAAGAAACGATTCTTGCAAAAGCACTGGAAAATTCACGTTTTCGAATTTAGTATTTTCCCATAGGCTTAACATTACGACGTAATGACCTCTAACTGACCTCAGGTCAGTGACATAAAAAACGAACTTTATGTTATACAACTCGGTGAACTCGGTAATCACTAGGAATATTATACCTTCCTCTTGCTCTTATGTCTTGGCAAATTATTCATGTATTATGTTGCTTGGATACCTATCCAGTTGTTGTGCCATTCTGAGTTGATATCCTCAGACGCGATTCTTTTTGAAGTAAGGTATTTTGATGCATTTTCTTCTATAAATTTCCAGCAGTAGCGCAATCACTGTTATTATGGAAATTAGGGGAAGTTGGGGGAACGCCGAAGACTTTTTTTCTGACGCCCGTAGCACGCAAGGTAGACAACATAAGCTATTCTTGTTGGCGTCATTCGAGAGGCCAGTCTTTTGCCTTTCAAACATACCAGGCGCATTTGATGAATTCGCATACTTAAGCGCACAAACTAAAAATATCAAAGAAGTGACTTTTTCGGCGTTGCCCCGGACTGCGGGGAAAGCCGAAAATGGGAGAAATGGTCTACGGGGAATGCCGACATTGATGTTTTGCCAGTTTATCTCAAACTTTATCCAGAATTCATCAAAGCTGACACGCGTTTTAAGAGCTTGAGGACGCGGTGCACACTGGAAGTTATAATTGTGTAATATAATAAGAAAATGCCAGGTAAGTTATTCCTTATAGGTAACAGGCCGTTGTGTCGGTTGAAAGTGTAATTTGTGTGACTAAAAATACGCGTTGCTATTCTACAGCAGTAAAGTCCACGTAGCGTGCTTTTAACACGTGCGTAATCGCACGTTTTCGGCATTACCCCAGCCAGCCATACTTTCATTTGCAGGCCCATAACTTTTCAACGTGCTGTATAAATTTCAAATAGGCAGCACACTTATGCAAAGACATGCTAAAGATTACTTGACCGAATTGGCCAGACAAACGGTAGCATAATGAGTAAGAAATGCAGCTTCAAAGGCGCATGTAGTACAAGGGAAACGTACCTTGAAAACGCTCTTGGCGCCCTCACAGTCGAAGTATTCCCAATGACGACTCGTAACAAACATGCGATAATTGTAGTCACTTAAGCTTCAGAGCATCACTGACTGGTGGCATCCATGTCTTATGGTTTTCGAAATATCTCGAATTTCGGCTTTGCCCCAACTCCGGCATTGCCCCAACTTCCCCTATGGACAAAACAATTGTATAAAAGTGTCACCAAACCCTGTCGAAACTACTTAGCAGGTATGCGGCATGTAGGAAAAATCTTACTGACCTCAGCCGCCCCCGGTTTGCCCCGGTTGACCCCAAGTTGACCCCAGGGGGTGATACCGTAATGCTGTGCCATAGGCCGATGTTGTAGCCAGCTGATGAGCAGGAATGACGTCATCGGCCCATGATAGCCCTGACCAATGTGATCCAACCCATTGCGACTTAAGGTGACCTCTGTGACTTGGCCTGACCCATCGTGACCCTGGGTGACCTCTGTGACCTGACCTGACCCAGGGTGACCTGAGGTGACCTTAAGTGACCTTTGTGACCTGAAATGACCCAGCGTGACCTAATTTGACCTTTTTATCTGGAATTCACCCATTTGGACCCCTTCGTTCAGCTTTTCGCGTAAGTACAAGACTTCTGAACTGGTTATTATCGCGTAAATGCCTTATTCGTGATAGCGCCGTGTAGCAAGCGGTTCACCTAGTGTGAACGCGGTCACGGCTTTCAGCAAGCTGGCACGCGGAGCCCGGAGGTCTTAGCTCCGCGTTGCCGGGGCTGAGCGCCAGCTGGACGACACGCGGCAGGAATGTATACGGTCACTGGCTGGTCTTCATGTCAGCGAATGCCGAATGGCATGGCCAGCTCAAGCACAGGCCGCTGACTCCAGGCGGCCAGCTGCGCCTGCAAGCTGTCTGCCATCAAGCCGGTGGCGGCGGCGTGGCCAGCGTGCCGAGCAGCTGCACCGCGCGACACCGCAGCCGGCAGCGGCCCCATCTCCGACTAGCACCGGCCTCGCCGAGCGCCGCCCCGGCGTCAGCTACTACTGGTTCAGGTCGGGCACCATGGCCGCAGTGGCTCGGCGCAGTCGGCCCAGAGCGCGGCCAGCTCGGCCAGCACCGGCAGCGACAAGTCCAGAGCGTCCGTGGCACGGCTGACCAGCGGCAGGTGGATGCAAGTCCCCGCCGAAATTTGGTTGCATCGAAATTCGCCACGACATTCAGTTCCTAGGGCCATAGCGTTTCCATGCTAAATGCTCTGACTTTGTGAGGCGATATTTCCAACGCTTTTACTTTTTTGTATATGGGCTGCACCTTACCCCATCAGCCCCGCGTTGAGGCAGAACCCACCGGCCAGGCTCCATCTGCCTCTCCCGCACTAACAGAATCACTTAATCAGCCTAACATAATCAGAATCGCCGACCAGTTCCGGCCGGTACAGCCTGTTGGTCTCTGAGCCGATGGCACCGGAGCCGCAGCGGTTAGTCAAAGCTTAGCAGGTGCTCCAGAGCCCCGTCAAACGACTGAGGAGGCACCTAGCAGCAGCACAGTGCCGTCGACCGTTCCCGAGCCGATAACCAAAACTACAATGAGTTCCACACAGTCACTGTGTCCGCCGTCGATGAACAGTTGCCCCATCCCCCTCCCCAACTCCAAGCTGGATCCGCGCTTGAACTCAGTAGTTGACAGTATTTTGTTGACAGTATTTTTGGTTCTAACTCCTATGCTGTCTAGCTACGAATGTGCATTGTGCATAGCTTGGCATTTATCCCTAGAACGCCTAGCGGGGGGGGGGGGGTTGTATCAACCCCCCCTGAGGGTTTTTCGAAGTGCACGCTAAACGGCTTGTCGTAGCGGGCTGAAATTTTCAATACTCTCTGGGGCAACCTTTGCGCATCTTTTGCCGAAAAAAATTGATCGGGTCATGTCAGGTCACGGAGTTATGACGTCATAAGAGGTACAGCCTCCGGCCGGATTTTCACAAACTGAGTGCCAACGCCCGAGGTTTCCTGCCGGTGGTACGGACATCGGTTGATGGATCGTGATGAAACTTCCCATGCATGTTGGGGCAAGTATTGGCTATCATATAGTATAAGAAATTTGACCGGGTCAGGTCAGGTCACGGAGCTATGACGTCACAAGAGGAACAGCGTCCGGTACTATTTTTGAAAAGCGCCCGAACCACTATTTTGCTAATTCTTGTCACCTCAATGGGAATATGCAGCAATATTAGCTTCTATAGGGAGCAAATGGACCTCCCAAATCCAAAAATACAATCAGATTTCAAAAAGTTAAATTTTGATTTTTCGAATTTCTGCCGCCGACTGTGACCTTGCCGACTTCCGGCGCTCCCAACGCGCCATTTTTAGAGCTAGGGAAACGAAATACATACCAAACGATAGAGAATTGATCAAGGAACACGATAGTGAAGGTTTCAAGTCGATATCTCCTACCGTTTTGCCGCAATCGCCGCCGAAAGTCTATTTTTCCGAAAATTTGACCTTTGACCGGTCAAAAGTAGGTCAAATGTTGACCTAGGACCAAAAAATATACCACCAATCGCGAGATCTCGTTGAGAGCAATCCGTTGGTTTTTTCTGCTAAGCTCTACGACCTTCCGTTTCGAAACGCCAGGGGGGGTCGTAACAACCCCCCCCCCCCTGGTCGTTCGTGTTATGAGAAATGGCCTGGTCGTGCGAGGGTTATATCAACCTATGACATGCTAATGATCGTGTAAAAAACAGCTGGTTTTGTGTTTTGGTCACCTAGTTTCTGTCTACCCGTTTGCTACGGGCGGGCCCACGGCTTAGGTACAGCAGTCGGTACCGTCGGCACCGACTGCAAAATAGAGAAAGTTGGCTGCAATTTTTTGCTGTTTAAAGGTTGCAAGGATATTGAGTCAAACGGTTAAGAGGCCGCTGAACGTTTATTGCATTCCAGTTGGATAAAATCGATCACGAAACAAGTGGCGCAAACCCCATTCAGTTTCGCTGCCGTGGGTGGGCGGAGTCGGCGGAGTATGGGCCGATGACGTCATCCTCCCGCCGGCCGTGATTCGCCCCGATTGGCCGATGTCCATGCCTGGTTAGAGGGCCTTGGTTGACCCTAGCCTCAGCCGTACGAAATTATTTGGAAACTCGGCTTGCAAAATTTGACTCCGGCCCTCGTGCTCCGCACTCGGGCCTCCGTTAATTTTGCAAACCTCGTTTCCAAATAATTTCGTCGGCCCGGTCAGTAATATATATTGAAACCAGGTTTTTAACCCGCGCCCCACTGGGGTCTGTGTATAACACGCCCTACGGGGGGGGGGCTATTCATAGCCCCCCCTCCTAACTCCGAAACTACTGGGCCGATCGTCAAAATTCAAACGGCGTCTGATAGCCCCGGAAAAACTGTCAAGCGAAACCTAATTTCATTGACCTCGAGGTCACCGATGACGTCACAGGTCAGGTCAAAGTAAAAATTATTAGCACTTTGGCTTGTTCACATTTTGGGCTCTGGCCGCCGTCTTACAAGTCAGATCAGGCTCATTTTTGGTTTCCACACTCGTGAACAGATGCTCTAGATACCTTGACGGTACCAAACTTGTACTTTGATTTTCAGGTCAGGGTCAGGTCATCACAGGTCACGAAAATATTATATCATGCGTCGGTCACGTGACACATGTTTTATCGTCCATTTAGGCCATAGATTTCGAATTTGATGTCGTCTATGTCATTCGAGGTCATTTTGAGTCGAATTTAGCTTAGGTCAGGTCACCTTCAGGTCAAAAAAGGTCAAATTTTGAAGTTGAAATTTTTCAACAAAAAAGGTGTCTATTGGATGCAGTTTGAGCTCAGGAACACGATGGTGCCATTTATATTGGTGTACAATGCCAAATACGTACTGAAAAATTGATTTGAAAAATAAATAATTGTGAATTTTTTGCAATAATGCGTATAACTTGGCCATTTTTGAAGATATTTAGCTAAAACTTGCTAGAGTTAGTCATAATCATGCGTTCTGTCACATATATTCCGGTTTTTTCGAAAAGTCAAAAACTTTTTGAAAAAAATATAAAAATATAAATTTTGAATATTATTATATAAAATTTTCAAAATTTTCAAACTTTTGAAAATCCGAGATAGCAGTTTGATAGCGCGGTCAATTCTGAGTTCTTTCATGCAAAGAAATTGGATCTAGCTTAAAAACTGAGCTCTTGGGAGCGATTGCCGTGGTTCAATGTTTTGCGTCGAAATCGGACGAACATGACGTCACTCTGACGTCATTTCCGGCCGACCTATGGTAGGTACGAAGTTCAAATTTTGACACAAGGTGTCAAATTGATGCAGCCGAAGGTACTGAAAGTTTGGCGTCGATCCGTCAAGCGGTTTGGAAGTTATTGCCGAAAAACGGGAGGGGGGGCTATAAATAGCCCCCCCCCCCCCAGTGGGGCGCGGGTTAAGTGTTTCTATGTCAATAAGTGCCACAAAACTATGGATTAGGACGTGCAGTCACGTCATGTGTCTTCACGATGTTTCTCACAATGTCTTCGTCATCTTGTCGACTGTGGACCTCACCAGGGTGACAAAGCGCCATGACGTTGTGCAGCGCTGCGTCAGCAAAGGTGCTGCGTTAATTAACCCTCGCATGTGTAGGGGGGGGGGGTCGGATGGACCCCCCCATGGTTTTTCGCGAACAACTCGCGTAAAAAGCGTCCGATCGCGACGAAACTTTCAGTACCCTCGCATTGATCAATTTTACACCTACCCTGAAAATTTCATGACCCTGACCCCAATGACCTTTGACCTGTGACCTCTTTTTTGAGACCATGTTTGGCCGGAATCGCGATTCCGCGTATGTCGGCTTGCATTAGCCGCGCGTTTGCAAGCTTTTCGTGGTTTCAAACGTTTAAACATGTGATTTGATGTTGCTCCCATGCATTAGGGTGGGTGTCAAGGTCACCTGAAGGTCAGGTCAGGTCAGTGACCTTTGGTGACCTCGTTTCACTTTTTCGAGTTTTACATGTTTCTAGGCTAGTTTTTGGAGCTGAATTCGAATTTAGCAACCATTTGAACATTTACGAAGTAGTTTTGGTGACTTCGTAACATGTTACGAAGCTGTCAGAGGCGGTTGACACGTACTACGAATACCCGTCACGACCCCTACTGGTTGACCTGACCTGACCTGACCCGACCTGGTCAAAATGCTTAAAGACATCATCTGTGATCTAAACTAACACGATATTCGTGATCAGCACCCCGAAAAACCCCTTAGCAGCCACACTTTAAGACTTCCTAACAGGTCCCGATTTTCCCGACTTTGGGTCATTGACCTGACCTGGAAGGTCAACCAATGATCTAGGACCTTAAAATTGGGTATCATCGGCTTCCTCTCGTCACGGGCAACACGCTCGTTTTTACCGCGAAGCTCTAGCTCAATCAGGGGCCAAACGGCAAGGGGGGTCCAACCGGCCCCCCCCCCCTACACATTAGAAGCTGGCAAACGCCGCACACATGCGAGGGTTAAGTATAGTATCAATGAAAATTACATGGGTGAGGAGAGAAATCATGGGTAATCATGACTGGTGCAAGTTGTTTAGGCAAGAAATAGCACGATTCCAGTTTATATGGGAGCGCAATGCAGATTCATTATTGGAAATGGGAAGAAAGATGTCCAATAATTTTTGGACAGATGTTGTACGAGCAATGGCCAAATATGATCAGAGCATCATGGTGGACATAGAAGATGTTAATCGACACTCCCTGTGGTTTTCAAATCATACAAAATTTAGAAACTATGAAATAAAAGCATGGAGGCAAAAAGGAATAGTTTACATCAATGACCTTTTAAGGGACAATGGAGAAATAATGTCCTTTGAGGAAGCAAAAGTTACTTATGATTTGAAAGGGACAATAATAGATTATCTAGGTCTGGTACATAGTCTGCCTGTTGAATGGAAAAACAGACAAGGTAAAGTAAAGGAAGCATATCCTATTATTCACCCAAATGTTCAAGCGATCATTAGTCAGAAAAAAGGCAGTAAGTATATTTACAACACACTTCTACATCATAAATACAAGGGAAGTAAAAATAGTTGGGAGTTGGGTTGGGAGCAGGAGATGGGACAGATTGACTGGTTGAAAGTATATGAAGCAAATCTTAGACTAATTTCGGTTAAATATCGAACACTACAATACAAAATTTTAACGAAAATTGTGGCAACAAAACGTTTACTTTACCAAATGGGCATAACAGTATCGTATAGATGTGACAGATGTACGCAATGTATTGATACTATAATGCACAGATTCTGGTTTTGTCCATTGGTCAGAGCATTTTGGAATGACGTTGAAACATATCTGAGGAACGTAGGCTTAGTTCAAAACATGTCTTTTTTTAACTTAAAAATGATAATTCTAGGAAATGATGAATTGCTGGCTATTAATCATATCATCATCGTAGGCAAAACGATGATTGCTGGTAAATACCTACTTTCTGTTGACATTTTATTAACTATATTGAAAAGGGATATGATCACGGAAAACCACATAGCGCTTAAAAGGGGAAAATTATGTGACCATGAAAAGAAGTGGGCAGGGTTGGCTGAAGCATTTGACCGACACCGGTCTAACTAAAAAGGATTGTAAAAGTGTGCAGGATGCTGGGAGTCACTAGGCGATCAGTTTATTCTGTTGTTTCTCTTCTTATCTTTGCGTGTGAAATGATGTCATAAGCTGAATACATTTGAAAAAAAGTATAGTATCAACACTGAACTGGCAGGCCCCCAGCTCACAACTACGTTTGGCAGCACATGCACAAACTTTCTTAGCTGTACAAACACCCGAAAGCGACGCCGCCCAAGGTGACCCCGAGCAAAATGGTAGGTAAAGCGATCGATGAACCCCTCCACTAACAGCGTCAAAGGTGACCTCGATTGTCCTCATTTTTTTGTGCCACATCTACTTCCCTCGCTTGACTGTGTTTAAGCAGGTGGGAATTATTCGACCAAGTGTGAAAACACTTCACACCGCAAAACCTCCCTACCTGGAGCTGACGGCGAAAGGTATAAAACGGCGTGCTGGCGGCTCGCCACTTGTCCATCGTCCTGGTCCTTCGGAAGTCGTCCGTCGGAACAGGAAGTCGTAATTACTTCGTCGGAAGTCGTAAGTATTTCGTCGGAAGTCGTAAGTATTTCGTCGGAAGTCGTAAGCCGTTGGTTATTGGCGGTGGCTGGTCGTCGCTGGTTGTTGATGTTTCTGATTACTTATCATTGATCGCTGTTATTACCCATCGTTGGTTTTGTAACCACTGGTCGTTGATCATTAACCACTAGCCGTTGGTCTTTGACCACTGGTCTTTGGTCATTGATCACTGGGCACTGATCGTTACCGGTCATTGGTCGTCAGTGGCGCAAGAATTACTTTCAGACTGGGGGGGGGGGGCACATCATAATAGAGATCTGAGCATCCCCAAATCTATAGTTTTCTCATCGGTTTTAGGCCACTTATTTTTCACCCCTTGGCTTATTGAATGAAAAAAGAAAACATATGCAAAACAGAGCGGTATTCCGTCTCAAAGGTTATGGGGCACCGCCCCCACGGTCCCAGAGTTGAAGGGGGGGGGGGGACATGATGTCCCCACTGCCCCCCCCCCCCCGGTTCCCGCGCATATGTTGGTCGTAACCACTGGACGCTGCTCACCGGTCGCTGACGGCCGTTGTTGGCAGGTCGCAGGTCGTTCTGTCCCGCCACAATGCAGGTCGATTATGGCTACCCGGTGCGGGTCGCCGTGACGCTCATCTGCCTCCAGTTGATGGCTCCTGTCAGCAGCTCTGTGAGTCCCAGCCGGATACTCCGGCAACCAATACCACATGGAAGCCCTTTGGTGGTGGGAAAATCGGTCCCTTGTCATCCTCCCTTCTTCCAACAATATTACCTACAAATGTGACGCGTTCATGCATGACGATCATAAAGTGATGCTGAATATATGACAATTATAGTAGTAACTAATTGTAGCGATAAAGATAGAGTAACACCATAAAAATACCTATCCGATCCTTGGTAGACATAAAAGATTCATGCCGTCGCTGAGATAAGAACTTCCTTGTTTGTGAAAATCAGCCGTTATGAATTGTAATATCTAGTCATGTGTTATCAGTGTCCAATGATGGACTGCTCACTGAGCTGTGCCCGTGTTGACCCAGCTGCAACGTCTGTCTCTCACAGGACTGTCCCTGGGGCTGGGTGGGACCGCACCGGGGCACCTGCTACCGACTGAGCAGCTATGAGACCACCTGGACGGAGGCCGACTCCACCGGCTGTCGGGCGCTACACGAGTACGCCCACCTGGCCTCGGTGAGGGACCTCAACAGCGTCTTCCTGTCCAAGCAGAAGTCCATCATTGACACCGACTACTACTGGGTGGGCCTGCGCTCCGGGGACGCGGAGTGGAACTATAACACGGGGGACGCCCAGATGGTGGACTTCACCAACTGGGAGGCGGTGCGTCACCAGGAGCCCAGTGGTTCCAGCTTCACCAACGACGACTGCGTCAAGGTGGTCGGTCCCGGCGCGCCGCCCGAGTTCCTGCCCGCCGGCCGCTGGCTCGACTGGGACTGCCAGGCGCGCAACGCCTTCATCTGCTCACGGAAACGGGTGAGCGGGCGCTTCGCAAGCGAGTGGGATTCGCATTGCTCTAGCTGTATGTAGCGAAGTGAAAGTAATCACATACCACTTAGGGATTCGTTAGCTGAATATGGCACCATTTCCGAAGCCTCCTCAAATTGTCAATACCTTCTTTCGACTAAAGACCAAAGTTGTGATGCATAAATATTTTATCGTTATTTTTTTCAAAATCCAGAACTTCAATGGAATTCAATCTGAACACTTTTTAGAGAGTTGACCAAAAGTAAGTGCTCTCACATTTGGCTTAATTAATCAAATATGAAGCTGACATCTAGCCAATCTAACCCAGGAGTCTGCAACGCTTGTCCGTAGTCTCTGATTAGCATTGGAGTTGAGTTGGTTGCACGACGCACGCGCCAGTGGCGGCGGAAGCGGGGGGGGGGCAGCGGGGGCACAGCGCCCCCATGTTTCAGGGTGGGGGCACAGGGGCGGTCGGAGACTTGACGTTTGGGGGGCCAACTTGGCAATGGGGCCCCAGCGCTGACCCGGGGGGCCCGGTGCTAGCTTAACCCTCGCCCGCACATGCCATTTTTCTATCCTAGAACGCACATGGGGGGGGGGGAGGTGCCACCGCCCCGCGCCATTGCGCTCCTGTTGGAGATGGAGCTTCGCGGTAGGACCAAAAAGATTCTTTGGGAAGAGACGAATCTAATGATACCCAGTTTTACCTTCTCAGGTCAGTCATTGACCTTCCAGGTCAGTTCAAACTAAAAAAATGTTGCTGTTTTGGGTCACCGTTGGATATCAAGTGCGCTGCTCACCATATACCGACGACGATGCCGTTTTGTGGTGCCAAGCAAGCTAGAACCTCTTTGTCACAATATCCGACCAGGTTTTTGCTGCTGAGGTCAGTTCAGGTCAAGTTAGGTCAAGGTCAATGATATGTGTTTGTAATTGTATGTCTGTGTGTGTCTGTGTGTATACTGTTGTGTTCACCGATTGTTTATGTGTCCATGTTACATGAAATCATGATCTGAGAAGCTTTTACCAAAAATGCAGTCAAAAAACTTCACGAAAAGTAAATTCAGGTTGCCTAAAACGCAATTATGTCAGATGACCTAGGTTGACCTTGACCCTGACCTTGAACTCTGCACATTGTCGAACAACATGTTCCATGATAGGTGGGAGGTAAGACTGGCAAAAAAAGCCGAAATCAAGGTGTCAAAAGCCCACAAGGCCCATAGCCAACGCAAGATGTTGAGAATTGGTCATTTGGGTCATGACGACCTGAAAAACAAGGTTATATCTCCGAAACCAAAGACCACAGAAACTTGAAATTTTCAGTGGACATCAAGAAAGGATAGAAGAATTCAATTTTACAACACATTTCTTAAAATGCCTGTAATCGGTGAAAATTCGACATTTGACCTGACCTGTGACGTCATCGGTTTGACCAAGGTTTGGGTTAAAATGCCCCCTCCCCCAACAGGGCGCGTTGCTCGGCAGACCCCAACGGGGCGCGGGTTAACACGCGCACCGACGGGGGGCGGATATCCGCCCCCCCCCTGAGGTTTTTCGCGAATAGCGGGAGAACCGCGGCGCTAGCGCCGCGAAATTTGGTACGACTATTCTCTCATCAATTTAACACATGGTGTGCAAGTTTGAACCTCCTAACTTTTAAGGTCAGGTCACCAGGTCACTTTGAATGGCCCAACCTCAAGTCACTTTTTGCAACTTTATCACCGTGCCAGAGCTACAGTAGATGTCGGAGGCCTTTGAAAGTCGCAGGATGTTATAAGGTCATTAGTAGCTACAATTTGTATATCTCGGAATTTTGATATCGATGACCTAAGGTCAGGTCAATATCTCGACCTCCCCATCATAAGTCAATGGGGGGGGGGGGAAATCAACTCACTGTTTTTACCACTAAAACGGGTCGGAATGGCCCCATAAACCATACCTGACCTCATATACGATCAACCTTCACTACCTTGAGGTCTGTTTTGCTGTTGGGCAGCTGTAAGGTCATGTGACGTCATCAAAGGTCACCAGCGTTTTTTTTACAATAACTCCGTACAGGAACAAGATACAGCCGCGCGGATGGTCTCATTGTGTTCAGCTCGTCAAGGCGCATCGAATGATATACATGATGACCTCGAGGTCACGTGACCTGAGGTCAACCTTTGACCTTGACCTTTCGAGGTCAACATATATACCTATCATTCGATGCGGATTGACGAGAGGATCACGATACTGCCCTTAGTTTGTTCCTATCTTGACAAGTTCGAAAGTTATTCGAGAAAAACTCTCTCCATACCTAGCGCCGCCATTTTGACTTTTTTGACCCCTATGACGTCATCTTTGACCTGACCTGAAAATGACCTGTGTAAAAATTGTAGACCTTGTCCGTGCGTATCCCTTGCCGTTTACCGCTTGTCGCTATCTTGCTTCGTTCTCGAGATCTCAGGGGGGGGGCGGTCATCCGCCCCCCCCCCCCCCGTCGGTATGAAGTTGGCGCAGACCCCCGTCGGTGCGAGTGTTAATGACGCCATTCGTTCAAAGAAACCAAGTTGTTCTGCCTTCGAATGTGGATGCGGCAATCATGGCAATCGAAAAAGCGCGGGAATAGCGCCCCCGATGTGTATGCCTAGTGGGTTAGAGTGGACCGTGGACCGAGGCACCTGGACCCCCCCCCATCCCAAATTACCTTCCGCCGCCTCTGGCATGTGCGCTGATTCAGCTAATTGAGTGGTTATTGAATCATTTTGTTCCGCTTCCACTCGTGGCTTAGAAGGCACTTGTATGTAAATTACTTTTTTTACTTCTATAGGTACACGTGGCTGCAGACAGGTGAGGTCTCAGACTCTCAGTGCATCGAGTTTCATGTTTCAAGCTGATAGCTCAGCTTTTCCAGAATCCCTTGAAGGAGAAAACATGTGTAGGGGAGAGTGGGGAAAGATGCCCAGGGCTTTGTTATGTCATATATTATTCGTAAATGACCATCGGAAAGCAAAAACTTGTAGTTTCAACGGAAGCCGACATCATTGTTCTCATAAAATATCACTCTTTCGCGCTTGAACTAACTAGATGCCGGCAGCGCTCGTGCGTTGCCTTGGGCCAGAATTGGAGGATCCATAGCCCAATGAAATGTGCATTATTTTGGAGGCCTGGCCTGGGACTACCATTGAGCCGATTTTGAGGTTGATAGCTTAAAATTTCTTTGAGCCAGAGGACCTCACGTCAAAACGGTTTTCCGACCCCAGCACGTGCAGCCTGCACCCCTCGCAGACGGTGACCCCCCTGGAAACTGGTTCAAGGTGTTACCGATGTGTCCCGCCAGTATGGCTTTACCCGTGACCTCGGGTTGACCTGTAGCCTTGACAAAAAATTTCGTGTCACCGAAACTTTGAAGCGGAATAGCATGTGCCACGAAGCATCGAGCGAACCGAGGCCAGCACCAAAAGTTTACCTCGCCGGAGACGAATCAAACGGTCCCACTTTCGTCCCGATCGGTCCACCCATTTTGACTCCAGAGGCCAGTTTCACCAATAAAAAACAGACGGCTGCGATTATTTTTTGACAAAACGATAGTCTAGAAATCCTATTTACCGGTGGAAAAAGTAATTGCTGACCAAATAATATAGCACTTGAAAGCTACGTTATTACATTTTTCAAGTCAGCGATTAGAATTTTTAGCAGTAAATGACAATTTGAGACTATCGTTTTGTCAAAAAATAATCGCAGCCGTCTGTTTTCTATTGGTGAAACTGGCCTCTGGTCCAAAAAAGCTTGGACAAACTCACTCACATACTCACTCACTGACAAACAGGTTCAGCCGAACTTTTTTCAGCGACCCACCAATGGGAATTTCCGGATGCAAAAGCATGCTATCGCATGCTTTTGATCCTCCAATTCTGGAATATGATATTTTTTTGCTATTAAGCATTTTCTCGAAGAACTGAAAGGGGGCATCTTACCCAAAGGGTGGCAAAGACGCCCCCTGGCGTTGGGTAAGATGCCCCCTGCACTATAAGTGACATAAATGGGCACGTGAATTGCCTGAACGAATCAGTAGCCCCTTCGAGCCTGCAGTAAACACTAAACGCCATCGTAAGGGCCCTCAAAAGTAGTCGTGAGGGGCTTCAGAGGTCATCGTTAGGGCCACCAGAGTCCAGCGCGACTAAACAAGCCTCCATGGTGGCATTCGGAGAACGTTGTGGGGCCCTTATAGATCTTCATGAGTCTTGAGGGCCCTCAAGCTCATCGTGGGGACCTTATAAGATGCCAGCGCGGCCCGTGGAGCCAGCGTGGGAGCCCTCAAAGGATGTCGTGAGGGGCCTTGGAGTTAATAATGGGGCCCACAGAGGCCGTCTCGAGGGCTCTCAGAGTCAGATGTCGCCCAAAAAGTCGTTGTGTGGGCCGAGAGACCGGCATGGGGAGCAGCCGACCGTATTGGGCTCTCAATAGTCCCAGATCGGCTTTTGTCTCTCATCACAAGTATGTACTAAATGATTCGACGGGTTGCTTGAAGGACAGCGTACGGATTCAGGGGGCGTCTTTCGGACTCTTTCCCCATCAGTGCAGGGGCATCTTTCCCTAAGGTACCGAATTAACATTTAATCAGTACAATTTGTTAGCCCTTAAACTACATCCTAAAACAAACTGGTTGGGACAAAGTACACACATAGGTATTAATGTCTCACGACAATAGCAAGTGACATAAAAATTATTTACCTTCTTTGATATTTACAATGTTTTGACACCAATTTTTTTTTTTGAAAGCAGCAAATAAAAAACATGCAATCACCAGCCAACCGTTGTCTGACGGACATTGGCAAATTTTGGTGCAGTTAACAAGGCAGGCTTCCGCTTTACGCCAAGAGCGTTAATTTCCAGGTTCGATTCTTTGTTTTGCCGCTAGAGGGGGTGGGGCGTCTTTTCCACCCTGGGCATCTTACCCCACTCTCCCCTATTGTGTATGCATAGTGGAAAATTCTTGTGCTGCAGCATCGCCATTATTGATTATCAGTTCAGTATTGATGATCGGCGGCGTTATCGAAAATTTAGCTTACACGTGCATCCAAGTTTCTGGACGGATGATTCGCTGTATCCTCAAGAAGTTATCGTTGTTCCTTTGTGGTTGTGTGAAAACCAGGCGGCAGGCGTCGTTTCTCCAATCATGTCCAGCCTTCTACCTTTCTCTGAGTGTTTTAATTCGATTCATCCAACAAATGTGTTTGTTAAGACCAGTTTCCTCCTCTTTCCCCAGCGACTCAACAAAAGGTGTCCACATCTCTGGAGTGGAACTAAAACGCACTGCTACGTACTTATCAAGCAGCAGTTGAGCTACTCCGAGGCGGATGCGATGTGCGCCAGCCGGCTATCGAAGCTGGCCACTGTGGCCGACTACAGCCAGCTGCCCCCCGCGCTGGACCTGGCCGACGTGACGTTCTTCTGGGTGGGTCTGCGCTCGACTCCGGACCGGGCCGGTCGGCTGTACTGGGACGACGGCAGCCTCGTGACGGACACCCACTGGCTGCGGCTGACCTCTGACGAGCCCGACGGCGACCAGTTCGGGCCCGACCACGACTGCGTGGTGGTGAACGGCCTGCGCGCCGAGGAAATGTACGCTGTGGGCGAGTGGGCAGACTACGACTGCTCCGGGAAGTACCGCTTCCTGTGCGCGCTAGAAACGTATAGTTTCTCTTGAAAGTATCGCGTCCTGGGCTGCGGCGGCTCAGCGAGCTATTCCATTCAGTTTGAGGGATTATTCTTGTTTTTGAATCCGCTTACGAGTGCATGTGCAAGCACGGATGCATCCTGTTAGCGGGTGCAACTGATGATTTTTTGGGTATGGGCACGAGTTTCCGGATGTTACCCCCCCCCAAAAAAAAATGTGACAGTCGTGCCGATGACGAGTCAAATTGCTAACTTTGCAATGAAACAAATCTCAACAAATCCTCTGCGAGCAGGGTGGCTTCCGTTGACCACATGCTTAGCTGCCATCACAAGTTACCGGATGGCGACTGCCATCTCCCCCTAGCCCTCCGCAATCCGCAACCACTCCCCTCGCCCCGCCGCGCCGGCTGCCTCCGCGTGTCAGACTTCGGTTAGTGCTACCAGCGGCTCTCAAACCTTTCCGCTCAACCGCGGCTGGGACAGGTGGCGCCTTCCCTCGGAGTCGCGATACTTTCAAGAGAGACTATACTAGCCGACCACCGGCCGCCGGACCATCGGGTACCGGTACCTGGAACCCCGGCCGCTGCTGATCCTGCCCCGACACTGGCCATGTAACTAAATAGCTGACGGACCGACCTCAACAGCACCCGGAAGGTCCGACGCTTCAGGGGATGTCGGCCAGCATTCCGTTAGAAAAGGAAGTCGATTGAAAGAAGGATTGTTTGAAATGAGCTTTTTGAATCTACAAAGTACGAAGTCTAGCGATGTCTGTTGTACTTACCTACTTTGGAAGGGCTTAGTTTGCAGCACGGTAGGTAGGGGAGAGTGGGGTGGGTTGTATCAGTTTTTACTCCGAGACCCATAACCTCGTAACTATCCGTGATAAACTCATTATTTCCATACTATCTCCTTCCTTGATTCTTCTGCTTTTTTGTGCAAAGTAACTTTTCCGCTACCTCTACCAGTTTTTCTTCTACGGTCTGCCGAATAGAACAATGTTTTTGATACAACTTGCCCCATGGCTTGGGTGAGTTGTATCACATGGTGGGGTAATTTGTATCACTAGGTATTTCACGTTTCAGGGAGTGTGCTTGCTACTGGTTTTGAACATAACAACATTAAATGGGGTTAATACAATGTATATGCTCAAAGTCTTCACTTTTATTAGACCAAACTTAGGTCAATGCAATCCGAACGAAACATCGAAACGAACGAAACATCAACAGACTAGATGCAAAAGTGGCCCGTTAAGAGCAAAGAAGCCAACACATTGTGCCGAAATGGAACGAGTATTGACTAGCCACCTACAAACGCGAGACAGGGCTTAGCTTTCGCGATCAAAAGCAACATACCCATACATACATACATGTTACAACATACCCCACCCGGCTCTGATACAACATGTACCTCGCCGCTATCTTGGAAAAAAACATCCTCGTGCTCAAAAACAGCGGACAGCTGGAGAAATCCATTTTCACTAACGCAGCCTTAGAACCTACCCTCCAGTGGCGCAGCCAGGGGGGGGGTCAGAGGGTCAGCTGACCCCCCCGAAATTTCTGTCAGGGGCCCGCTCGAGAGAGAGAGAGAGAGAGAGAGAGAGAGAGAGAGAGAGAGAGAGAGAGAGAGAGAGAGAGGGAGAGAGAGAGGGAGAGAGAGGAGAGAGGTCCTAATCTAATCGGACGATCCCGCTTCGAGAAATGCCTACTGGGACACCACGGGTGAGGGGTCGGCCTGGGGCCCCAGGTGGACGGGGCCCGGGCCCCGGGTGGATGGGCCCGGGCCTACCGTGGATCGTCCGGGGCCGGGCCCAAGGGTGGATAGGACCCGGGCCCCCGGTGGATGGGGTCCGGGCCCCCCGGTCGACGGGTCCGGGCCCCCGGGAGAACAGATCTGGGCCCCCGGGTGGATGGGGCCCGGGGCCCCCGGGAGAACGGGCCCGGGCCCCCTGGGTGGATGGGCCCGGGCCCCCGGGTGGATGGGGCCCGGGCCCCCGGGAGAACGGGTCCGGGCCCCCCGGGTGGATGGGGCCCGGGAGAACGGGCCCGGGCCCCCGCCGGATGGGTCTGGGCCCCGGAAGAACGGGCCCCGAGCCCCCGGGAAAACGGATCCGGGCCCCGGGTGGATGGGGCCCGTGGCCCCGGTGAATGGGTGGATGGGGCCTGGCCCCCGGGAGAACGGGCCCGGGCCCCCTGGATGGACGGGGCCCGGCCCCCCGGTGGATGGGTCCGGCCCCGGGCCCCGGGTGGACGGGGCCCGGACCCCCGGGTGGATGGCGCCCGGGCCCCCTGGTGGACGGGCCCCGGAGCCCCGGGTGGACGGGGCCCGGAGTCCAGGTGGACGTGACCCGGGCCCCCGTGTGGATAGGGCTCGGGGCCCCGTGTGGATAGGGCCCGGGCCCCCGGGTGAATGGGGCCCGCTAGGGTGACCCGCTTGCTCCGCAACGCGAACAAGGGGTATTTTCGATGGTGAGCGTTTGGTTGGTCGTGTCCGTGGGTTATGTATTCATTTCGGTGGATTGCTTTTTGACAGCTAAGCATTTCGGTTTGGGAAAAAACATCCATCGCATCGAGGTGCTCGCGTCTGATAGCCATGCGTTCTACTATAGAACATGCCAAGTGTATCATAACATGGGTTGACGTAGGTTATTGAAAAATGAAAGCCATTGATGAATTACTATGTAGAGGTTTGAAACATTTATACTTGTAAGAATATTGTTGCTCGTCATGCAAAAGCGATGATTGATATAGGACAAAATTGAATGTTATTTCCAACTATGCCATTTTCAATAGTCAAACGTACCAGGTTGTACAGCAATACCCGTGTAATTAAGTAAGTCATGAACAAATACCATTTTCTCCAGCGATTTGTTCCACCTTGCTTTGGATCAATTAGCTTTTCACAATTTTTCCATGAGAGGCGGTACATTTCTCTTGCCAACAGGTGGTGTTTGAACCCGGCACCCGTTCCGTCTGACAGTCACCCGATAATAGCATTAAGTCCAAAATGCGTCCGAAACGTCAATTTTTCAAGCATAAGTGCCCTCATGGGCGCACGTGGCGAGTGCCATTCCTGCACCGCTCACCATTCGATAGCCCGTTCGATTCTCATACACACATGTTTCCCATGCCGATCGGACCCACGGTTACCGAGATACTGCACGGAGACTGGACCTGTGTCGGGCAAATTTAGCCATTTTCGCTCAATTTTGCAAGCCGATTTACACGTGTAAAATCTATGACGCGAATTCGCACTTTTTGAGCACGCGCCATGTGCTCACCGCCAGCCCGATCGAGCTGAGACCCCTCACAGGCACGTTGCCCATCCTTGTTCTATACGTTGCGCAAATTTCAGCGCACTAGGTGCAACGGTCTGGCCCAGGGCTGCGAAGTCGATGGATTTTAGGTGACCCCGACTCCGATTCCAAATCCGGCTTCAAAAATCGTCTCCGACTCCGACTCCAACTCCGACTCCGACTCCGACTCCGGATGGTTCTAATAAAATCCATATCCTGATACTGAAGTTCATTCAGGTCGGGTCAGGTTAACCAGTAGGGGTCCTGCCGGGTATTCGTAGTACTTAACTACGTGTCAACCGCCTCTGACAGCTTCGTAACATGTTACGAAGGCACCAAAACTACTTCTTAAATGTTCAAATGGTTGCTAAAATCGAACTCAGCTCCAAAAAAACTAGCCTAGAAACATGCATAACTTGAAAAAGTGTACCGAGGTCATCATAGGTCAATGACCTGACCTGACTTGACATCACCCTTATGCATGGGAGCAACATCAAATCACATGTTTGAACGCTTGAAACCACGAAAGGACTGCAAACGTGCGGCTAATGAGAGCCGGCATACGCCGAACCGCGATTCTGGCCAAACATGGTCTCGGAAAGTAGGTCAAAGGTCATTTGGGTCAGGGTCATGAAATTTCTAGGGTAGGTGTCAAATTGATCAGCGCGAGGGTACTGAAAGTTACGTCGCGATCAGCCGCTTTTTACGCGAGTTATTCGTGAAAAAACCTTAAGGGGTTGCATCAACCCCTCCCCCTCCCCCGTGCCGGCGAGGGTTAAAACTTTTTTATGAGCGAATTCACGTAATGAAGAAGAATAAAGGCACAATCTACTACAGCAGCCAATAGATGATTTAGGACAGGCACATGGGACTACTTAAATCTTGTCCGACAGAAGCAGGCAACAGTTCCGATTGCCTATATGCTATGCATGTTGCGGAAGGGGCACATTTCGGCCTCGAAAGATACGAATTCATACGTCATAGTAGCATATTTCTGTCATGGTCAACTTGCGCAAAAATGGAACACCGGGTGATTACCGAGCTATGGTTCTATCCAAATTTTCTGATTCAAACTCGCTCAGGGTTATCGTGCAGTTAAAGGGGCCCGCTCAGCAGAATGCGTATGAAATATTGGAGATTCTGAAAAATGGGTGGGGGGCCCGCACGCTAGGGGGCCCGCTTTGAAGGCGATGACCCCCCCGAAACGAAATCCTGGCTGCGCCACTGCTACCCTCACCACCGCTACGGAGATCTTTCAAATTCGTGCACATATAAATGCCCAAAACACACATTTTCTTGCCACTCATTTTTTAGAATGACATTAAAAAACATAAAATCGGCTCTCACCTCGAGACGCGTCCACCCAGCCACACGACAGAACATGGGGAAAGATGGCGCCCGGAAAACCTCGTCGGCTGGTCGTGTCACGAGCGCTATCTATTGGATAAGTTTGGCACAATTCGCCCTGATACAACTTGGACATGATACAACTCTCCCCGCTCTCCCCTAATATTGATGCTATTTTTGGCTCTATCATTCCTGTGTTTGGTTCGTTCAGTGAGGCTCATGGTCTTGCGTTACTTTGTAAGTTTGTTTTTCGATGCTGGCTGGAAAGTATTTGGTATTCTCTTAACCCGCGCAACAAAGGGGGTCTGCGCCAACTTAAAACCGACGGGGGGGGGGGGCGGTTCAAGGTTGACCGGGTCTCCCTGAGATCTCGAGAACGAAGCAATGTGGAGACAAGCGGTAAACGGCATGGGGTACGCACTACGCACGGACAAGGTCTACAATTTTTTCCGATGGTCATTTTCGGCCTTCGGGTCAGTTCAAAGATGACGTCACAGGGGTCAAAAAAATAAAATGGCGCTAGAAATGGAGTTTTTCTCGAATGACTGGAATTGGTCAAACTAGGAACAAACTAATGGCACCATCGTGATCCTCTCGTCAATCCGCATCGAACCATATATTTGTTGACCTCGAAAGGTCAAGGTCAAAGTTTGACCTCATGTCACGTGAGCTCAAGGTCAACATGTACATATATCATTCAATGCGTCTTAAACGAGCCGAACACGATGAGACCATCCGCGCGGCTGTATCTCGTGTCTGTTAGGAGTTATTACCAAAAAAAAAACTTTGGTGACCCTTGAAGACGTCACATGACCTTACAGTTGCCCAAGAGCAAAAAAGGCCTAAAGGTAGTCAAGGTTGATCGTATATAGGGTCATTCATTCATGGTATATTGGGCCATTCCGACGCGTTTTAGTGGAAAAAGGAGTTGATTTTCCCCCATTGACTTATAATGGGGAGGTCAAGAAATTGACCTGACTTTAGGTCATCGATATCGAAATTCCGAGATATACCTACAAATTGTAGCTACTAATTGCTTCGTTACATCCTGCGACTTTCAAAGGCCTCCGTCATCTGCTGTAGCTCTGACACGGTGACAAAGCTGCAAAAAAGTGACTTGAG